AAAATGCTGAAACTTAATGCTAAAAAGTGTATCTAAAGACTTTAACTAGTAACGCCATCTCTTCGAAAAACGCTCAAACTTGATGTCAGGATCATGCAAAGACCTTAACCAATATCGCCATCTCTTTGAAAAATGCTGAAACTTTCTAGCATCAAGTTTCAGCGTTTTTCAAAGAGATGGCGTTACTAGTTAAAGTCTTTAGATACACTTTTTAGCATTAAGTTTCAGCATTTTTCGAAGAGATGGCGACACTGTTTATGATTTTTGCATGGTTCTGACATCAAGTTTGAGCGTTTTTCGAAGAGATGGCGTTACTAGTTAAAGTCTTTAGATAAACTTTTTAGCATTAAGTTTCAGCATTTTTCAAAGAGATGGCGACACTGTTTATGATTTTGCATGGTTCTGACATCAAGTTTGAGCATTTTTCACAGAGATAGCGCCACTAATAAGTTCCCTGTATTTAAAAGATGGCGTTAGTGGTCAATTCTTTATCTTTTATCCTTTTTCTTTTATTTTCTGTCCTTTATTTTTGTGTTTCATTTGAGTCACTCTGAAGATGGCGCTGATTTCCATATTTTTATACTATCTCTGTCCTTTTCTCACTATTTACTCTCCTTGTCTTACTTCATAAATTATAACGGCAAATATAAACACTTGTATAGTTATGAGAATGTTAATATAATATAATTTACATTGCATATATATAGATTTTTTCAAATAATAAAAAACTTAGGATAATAATTAATTATAAATTAATTTTTATTGGATTTGGTTATAATATTTTTGATTTCCACATAAAAATAATATTTCATGCTAATATATGATATATATGTATATATATTGCATATATAAAAATTAAATCTGTTCAAGTTTTGAAAATATGTTTGCAATTGACATAAAATATCTAAAAACATTTAAATTTTCTAGAAGATTATATATGATGCTATATTATATATTTTATTCTAATGTAATATTTATGTTACGTATAAGTATTTTCAACAAAATTCATTTTAAATTTCATTTCTCTTAACATTGTTAATTTCAATGATGAAGAGATTTATATCCTTTCATATTAATATTTCCAATTTATTTTTTTTTTTTATTTATTGCATTATTTCTTATATGAAAGAGTTTTCCTCTTAAAAATTCAATAAAAGAATTTTATTATTTAATAATACTTGTATTCAAACTGATCAATCTCAAAATTGTAAAACAATCCAATGAACAATCCAAAAAAACATGTATATTTATAATAGAAAATTTGACTTTAATAAATCGTACGCAATTTCTATAAATAACTAATTTTCCATATCCGCAGCTTGTTATACTCTATTCTCCACTCAAGAGTTAAATTTTATTTCTGTTACTTAAAAAATAGTGCGCAAAAAATATAAGTTTTTATCGTAGAAAATAGAAAAACGAAATAGAAAGGATAAAAATGAAAAATTGATAAAAATAACAATGATATTTTTATTGTTTATAAAAATATTTTTTTTTCTTCCATATTACTTATTATATAATATACTTATTGTTTGGTCTTATTATTTTTGAGCCAAATTTTTTAATTTTAAGAATAGGTGATTTTCTATTTATATAATTTTCTAAAGAACTGAAGATTTCGTTAAAAAATTAAAAAATTAATCTAAACAAAGATAATAGAATAATACATAGAAATTCAATTATTATAGTACAGGTAATAATCTTTTTATTTGTCTAAAAACTCATCAATTTGTTCTATTTCTTTACTTGAAACATAATTCAATATAAATTATGACAGAAAATAGTTGTTTTACGTTGCCATTACATTGATATTTTATATCTTTCAAGAAATCAAAGTTTCAGAATCAACAAATAACACGAATTACAATATTTTTTGATTGTCCATGCTACTCGGTTGACTAATTCATCATGCGGAATCATCGAAAAAATTGCAATTAAGCGAAATAATATTTCACATGTAATGTTATTCACATGGGACATAAGAATAATAGTTCATAATCTTTCGAGCTTTCCAGCCGTCTTTCTTCCTCCGAAAATCAAGTCAACGAGACCTGAAGGAAACGATGGTTTATTTTAGGGAACTCTGAAAATACGCGCAAACGTCCCTCTTAGAGATTCAGTTGCATGTCGTTGCGATAGGATCATGGTTCTTAAACAGTGTCTACTTTCAACAATAGTCATAACAATTTTCTTCGGTATGTAACTTTTTCATCTTTCCTTCTTTACAGCAAAGAAAAACACATGTTAGTGTGAAAGTTGCTTATATGATAACTATAGTTACATTTTTTGCAAAATTCAAATATTTGGAGAGAAGCGTAGAATGCAAAAATTGGAATTAATGAATGTACACAAATTGAATACACAATATAATAATAAAACGTTGAAATGCTTGAAAGAGAAACGAAAAAATTAATATTTGCCAAAATTTCGTTCTTTAACAATAAATGGCATTGAATAGTCTTATAATAATGATGTTGTTTCACGATATTGTACAATAATTTTCATAGTTGCATGTTAATATAATATTATTGAAAAAACTTTTTGTTTAACAACGAAAATGTCTTTTCCATGACATTATAAATTTTTAATATTTATTTTAATAATGTTCACAGTGTCAAAACGTTTTAATGGACATATGTAAACAACTAGAAAGCCTATCGTACAAATTGTTTTCCTAATGTCACTTAAAAGGCCATTCAAAAAACTGATAACGACCATTATAATGATTAACGAGTCAATTATTAAGTATTTTTCTCGACCAATATTCAGTTTACTTATTTCAATTTTCAAAAAACTCTGAAACAATACTAACATAAAATAATTGCTTTTTATTTTCCAGGTGTAACGCCGGCTTTTACCTGGAATCCCGATATTCATCGGTATGTAATCAAAATTTAATTTTTTATTTTCATTGGAACTCAATTGTTTTTTTTCCTTTTTTTCTGATTAAAATCTTTATTAAAATATTTAAACGAGATGCATTATTTTTAATAAATTAACTGTACATTTTATCCAAGTTACGAGAGCTATGATCTTGAAAAAGGCCCGGTCTTCTATGAAGCTTATTACCCAGACACCAATGAGGAACCACACAACAGCTATCAAGAGAAACGTTACTTTGATCGAGGAGCAGTCCTAGAAAAGAGTTATCAAATACCTTCTGAACGTCTCACATACCCAGAAAACAATATTCAATTGGACAATTATCAAAACAGTGCAACAAATGCTATCCTTCAAAATGATGATCGTTTCTCTCTTGAATCGAATACACGATCTTTGGATATACAGGAAATTTCGAAAATAGCTAGAAGAGCAATTTCCCGTGATTTGGAAAATTGGAACACGCTTGAGAATTTTTTGGATCGCGTCAAAGATCAGGATTCTTTTTTTCGTCGTCGAATCATTGTTCCCGAAACGGGATACAGAATTGAACAACAAATTCGTCGAATCGATCCTTTATCGAATTCTTTGAAACAACAACGAGGTCTAAGAAGAGATCTGTATGAGGAAATTCAAGAAGAACCTTTAGCTTTGCCCAGTCGTATTCAATTGGATGAAAGAGATTCGATTAGAAGATTAACAACGCGTGATCTTGCGAACAGAGATACTTTAAAACCGATCAGTTCGATTCAATATAACGATAATAAAGCATCACGAGAACAAGAAGTGATACAAGCAATAAGAACGAGTCAATTAAATACACCGTTGTTAAAAGATGCGAATCCATCAGATTCAAAATCAATTATAGATTCTTATCCAAAAGAAAATATTTTTGCACCGCGACCTCAGGTTATCAATTATATTTTTTCGAGAAAACCAGAACTTACTACGCAAAATAAAGCTCAAAATTTATCTCAAACAAAGAATATTAGTGAATTTATACCTAGAAATTATGGAGATAATTTGATTCAAAATGAGATGAAGAAAACAGCGGAGAATAAGGATGTTAAAGTAACATCCATCGAAATTAGCGAAGTACCTAAACATAAGACTCGTCATCATCATGGGGAATGGCCAAAACGCGACTATTCTCGTCATCATCAATCTTAAAAAAATAATTCTTATTTCAAAAAAAAATATAATTATGTTTAATCATCTATTTCAAGTTAATAATATAAAAGAAACGTAAAGAAATGTTTTCAATATCGTTTAATTGAAATATTTATTCAATATATGATACAACAATGATACAATTTTCTATAACAATATATGTATATATATTTTATTTCGCTTTGTTCATTTAAACTTTTTATTGTTATATTTATATAACTATACACATACTAACAAGCAATAACATCGCATATATAAGAAAATATGATTTTTTTTTCGTAATGCGCATGGAAGCAACAACTTGTTAATATTTGACGAATAAATAAATTGATAATGCAAAAACATATAAGAAAATGAGAATGACAATGATCATGATATGAATTTTAATAATATCAATTAATATGAAAATATATTTCAAATTTTTTTCAAGAACATTTCCAATAAAAAAAACATATCAAATATGTTTAATTGATAATGAATGCTTGGAAAGGAATGTTTGGACAAATGCCTTTTCTGTTTAATAAAATAATAAAATGATATATTCAAGTGTAATTGAATTTATGAATGAATCTTGGATGATGCAATAATTATAATTATACGATGTTTGACGAGGACAAAAACCACAAGTATTTTATAAGTAATCTACACTATTGGAACACAACTTCGTCTGGTGAATAGTCTCAGTTAACTATATCTAAAACATTATATTTAATTTTTGCAAATTTCTTTCTAGATATCTAGCCTGCATTAAAGTCTTTATGTAAATTGACTGTCCTTTATATACATTTGGCAAGATATCATTAATCTAAAATTATTTTATACCTTTCTATATTCACTAGAGCAGCGTTTCTCAACTTATAAATCGACGTCTAATATTATGACGCATTATATTTTTAATAGATCATAAAATTACAATTTATTGAAAAACTATTTGAAACATATGCAAGCAATATACATATGATAATTTTATTTATTTATATAATATAAACAATGATTCCAATTAAAAAAATTTTTAACTTCTTAAAAATTTCATGTAAATATATAATATATAAATATTTGGATCATGGTATAATTATAAATTAATATATTGAATTATATAAAAGATTGAGGAACGTTACACTAGAGTATTAAAATAACAAAAGTTTTCCATTGATTTGATATAATCTTAAAACTTACTATTATAAGTAAATACATATAAGTAATACAAATTTACTACTTATATAAAACATATATATATATATATAATTATATATATAATATACATGTGTATAATTGCAAAGAAATTATAAAAATAACTTAATTGATAACTATTATATTATATACAATTATTCTTGGTAATAATTTCTTTAATTATCAAATTCAAAGAAATTATATAAACATTTTGTCCTTATTTCCTTATTTGTAGTTTTATTCCCAGCTATAAATTTTTATTCTTAAAATTTAATGATATCATATTTTTAAAATTAAATGATATTAATTTTACATTAATGCTATGCATATAACAAACTTGAAGCTTCCTGCTATAATTACTCTTTCAATATTAAAATCAACTTATTATTGTATAAAATTATTTACCTACATTTATTCTTCAATCTACTAATTTGATCTTTGAACATGAGTTTATGCATTTTATCATGTATTAATTAATTATTATTATAATTTACATAGAAATATATATATAAAAATAATTATAATTTAATTTCAAAGAAGAGTATATCTTTAAGAAGCATAAATTTAATATCCTATAAATTTAATATCCTATATTAAAAATACGAATATAAATATTATTGTTTAACACATATATAAACATTATTTATTATACCTGCTTATCCTTGTTTCAAATTTGACATCACAAATTCTTTTAATATATTATATGCCTTTGAAAAATTATCGTTTTCAATCACTATGTCAAAATTACCAGTTTTTTCACCTATAATAATTTTATAAAGTTTGTATCTAATATAAAAATATATAAAACATTTAAATTTTTAAGGATCATTAAATCCATAATTTTTACCATATTCCATTTCTACTTTAGCAATAGACAATCTTTGTTTCAAAACATCTTCTGTTTCTGTTTTTCTAGCTCTTAATCTTTTCTCTAACTCTTCTATAGATGGTGGTTTAATAAATATATATAAGGGATCTAAAGAACTTCGTTTTACTTGCTCTACTCCTTGTATTTCAATATCTAATACACAAACTTTACCCATTTGCTGTACTTCTTCTACTGCACGTTTACTAAAAATATTAAAACAAAATTATATATAATATAATTATATTCCTTTTTAATTTTTAATAATATAAGATAAATTTTTACCTAGTGCCATACATATTTCCACTAAATATAGCAGTTTCGATAAATTCATCTTGTTCTATCTGCTTTTGCATTTTTTCTTTAGTAGTAAAATGATAATGTTTCCCATCTTCCTCGCCTGGTCTAGGGGCTCTAGTGGTATGAGATACAGAATAACCAAAAGTATCTGGAAATTCTTCAAAAAGCTTTTTTATTAATGTACTTTTTCCACTTCCTGAAGGACCACACAAAACTAATGGACGTGGACCTTTATGAAGCATATTATAAACACCTAAAAAATGAATATAATTTGTAATTTTAAATTTGTAATAATAATAAATTTATAAAATGCAAAAAATTAAAATTTTTTTAAATAAATTGAATCACTTCATACCTAACTTTAAAGTTCTAAAACATGAACGTGATATCATATTTTCACGTATTTAATAATTCGATTAATTTTTATATAATCGTAGAAATCATATAAGTGCAAATATGTATTGACATAATCACTTTGATAAATTTAATAAAAACCGAAAAAATGGTAGATCAAAAACATCAAAAATATTATAATTATAGCATTATAATTAGAACATAAATAAACGCGTAGTAAGAAATAAAAAGAAAATAATTGTTGTTATATCTTTGTTTTTTAAATATATTGAAATTTTTATAGACTATATAATGAAATTAAAGTGAAGTATCTTCGAAATATTGATTTTTTTGAAGGAAAATGTGATGAATTATGTTGTATGTTATATTGTATGTTGTTGTATGTTATAAGAAAACATTGAAAAAAAGATATTCTATATTATTATAAATATTCTATAATATTATCATATTTAAATACCTTTTATGTTTCTAAAATCTAATTTATTATAGTGAATACATTTAAATTTCACAAATCACATTAAATGAAAAACGAAATCAATGCATAAGAACAACTTCACTAATGATATCATAATCATTCTTTTGCGTTTTTTTAGTTTGAAAAAATTGAAAATTTAATATGTATAGATACTATCTCACCTTTGTAGGTAACTAAATTCAAAAAACGAATAATATAGTAATAAAAACTACTGAAAAATATATTATGACTATTTTATACAAGAAAGCACAGAAATCCGCGGAACAAACAGCTACCACGTTTTCGTTTAATAACGTGCACATGCGCATATGTTACTGCATTATAAATTAAATATATTTTATTGTAAATATATATTATTATATATACATATGTATATATATACATTTTATATACATGTACTAATACGTACTAATATGTACTATATATTTTAAAAATAAATATTATACATTTCTGATAAAAAATTTTTAATAATATTTTTGTCTTCATCATATATTTTTACAGTATCTATAAATTTTTACTTTTTTTTTGCAATATTAATTTATAATATAATTAATTTATAACAATTTAAATATATACAAATTTTGTTTTTTTGTTTTTTGTGTAACAAAATATGCAATTAATTTTATAAAATGAAAGCAATAATTTAAGTTTGTTTTATTAAATTATAAGTTATTGAAATGAAATTTTTGTAAAAAAATATTTATTTTGATAACACTATAAGTCTTTTTATATCTACATTATATTTGTATTCTAATCAAAAAAAATATCAAAATTTT